GGGGGGGGGCCGGGGCGTGGTGGAGGCAGGGGCATGGCAGGCCCAGCAGGCCAAGCAGGCTGGCGCAGTCAGCTCCGACAGGCTCCAGGGTGTGCCCTGGCTTAGTTAGGCACCAGCCACCTAGCAGAGCCGTGGCTCCCCAGTGGGAAACGGGGAGACTGCCCACGTGCACAGCAGGGTGTATCTAAAATGCCCAGCGGCCATACTTAGTGACGCTGTCTCCCAGCCAGGTTTACCCCACCCCACCTCTTCTCTTTTGACCTTCCCACCCTGGAGAAGCGGGAGCTCAGAATGTATTCAGAGCACCCAGCCACCTCCCCGGGGCATAAAGTGTGACCAGGGCGGCCCAGGCTGGTTTGGTGTTCCCAGCACAAGCCAGCCCTTGCCTCCTGGCTCTGCAGGAGGGACCTGTACCTGGCTCCAGCTGGCTGGCTGGGCAAAGGCGGTCCCTGCCAGGTTAGCAGGGAGGAGTACAGGAACTGCTAGGGGCAAGGTGACCTCCCAGGGACGCTCAGGGAGCCTGCCCGCCCAGAGCAGCACCCTTCTCAAGGTCACCCGCATGCCTCCACTTTCCCCACCCACCGCTGGGGCAGAGCCTGACGGCAGCAGCACAGCCACTGCCAGGCCTCTCCTCGTGTTTAGCCTGCTGCTCTCCTAGGCTCTGCCCTGGGAGTGGGAGCTTTATGATCCAAATCGGCCTGCAGGGCCCCAGGCCCCTCGTCTGTTACTTCTCGGGAGCCTTAGTGCCACTTCGTGGGCAGCCTACCAGCCAGGTGGGCTGTTTCTCACTGGTCAGCCACTGTGGCCCACAGAGAGTCTCCTGCCGTGGAGCCCAGCACAGAGCAAGGGCTAGGACTGGCTGCTGCTCAGTGACTGCATGGCTCCGAGCACCCACAACCCCACCCTGTGACATGGGGACAGTGTTAACGTGTCCTGATGCACAGCCAGGGGCTGCCCTGGCGCCTGCGTCTGTTGGGTGTTGAGTGCCTGTTGCCGGCACACGGGGGTGGTAAGAGTCGTGTTGTCCACACCAGCACAGTGGGAAGCCAGGGAAGTACAGCCAGGTGGAACGCACGGTCCACGACTAGAAGGAAATGTGGGATGCAGGATTACGGAGCCCGACCCCGAAGGCATAACGCCATGCAGGTGGCCAGCGTCACCAGTACCAGGCGGCCGGACTAAGAGCCTCAGCTTGAGAATGCATCTTTATGAGGAGGATTTTTAACTTAGTTCTCATATGGCTCAGGGGTGTTGGTGATAATTTCATTCATTCCACAAATATTTTTACTGCCTACCATGTGCAAAAGCTTTCAAAATAAAATAACTGACACATTGCAACGGGTGCGGCACGTACGATTTCCTGCTAAGCGTTTAGGGTTGTTTGGGGGGAAGTTTCCCTGTGCTTTTCCACCTGCTCGTTCTGCAGTCTCCTGCTCTGCCCTCACCCTCCGCCTGCCCGGCGCCCACTCCCCCATCTCAGCACGTCCTCTGTTGTTCTTGTTTCTACGTTTATTATATTTTATTCATGGTAGAAAGCATGTGTGCCCATCTGAGAGAGCGAGGGAAGGGAGGGAGGCGCCCTCCATGGGGACTCTGCATGCACCATCCTCGCCCCATCCAGCTCGTCAGCATCTTGGGTGTGAGCAGGCGTACACCTGCGTGTTTTCAGGCCAACTCAAGCATCTGAACTCATGGTCAGCTGTGTAGTGTCCACACCGCCCTACCCTTCCTTAGTCCTGTTCACCCTGTCTTCAGTGTCCTCAGTGCTCCGGTCCCAGGTAGCTATGAGGAACTGAACCGGAAGACCAGGCTCTTGATTATGCGTTTCAATCTCATTAAAGCGAAACCATTCCAGAAATATTTACACTATACAGGGAAACAGCTGGGAGCTAAATGCCTTCGCTCAGCTCAAGAAACCGAACCTAACAGGATCTCAGTTGCTGAGGCAGAAAGATGAGGCACGGGCAGATATTTCTGCTCCCTACTCTGACGTTTTCCCCAAAGATGGGAAGAAGGATGTCCGGGAAGAACAATGGGCCAGCTGCTGGACTTGAATTTGGAAACACCAATGAGTAAGTCTGAGCACGTTTTTAAGCAGGACAGTGCAGGTGATCTGGAAGGCGAGCAGGTGCCCACTACGTGGTCTCCAGTTGCAGTTTAGCCGTGTTGCTGCAGGACCGAACTTGGTGCGGAATGGGGACAGTCGCTTGCCCTCAGAAGAAGCAGACTCTGAGCTGTGAGGTTTGTCAAGGAGGAAGGCTTTATTAGGAGTGACGTCATCCAGGAGACAGTGAGCAGGCTTGGTCAAAAAACTGTCACTCTGAAAGTGTCCAGGCATGGGTCTTTAGGGGAATAATTTGTGCCCTTGTCTTCAATTAAGATCATCTCAGCAAATGAAGGATTGAAACTTGTGCGTTTCTGACCCATTATTGAAACGGGCACCACTGTGACGGTCCCTGCTGCAGCCACCATCCGCATCCCTCCCTGCAGAGGGTCAACCCGAGGTCACTCAGCCTCCCCCGCCATGCACCCACCAGGCGCCTCAGCTCTCAGCGCCAGGTCTCTGCGGTCCAGGCTGGTTCTGGCCGGCTGTATTATGAATGTGACACGATCTTGACATCTCCCCCTCTGTTGAAATTAGCTGCCCTTGCCACCTCCTACCTCCCACCTCCCACCTCCCACCTGGCTTGGCTCCTCTCTGACCTCCTTAAAATGCTCCCACTCACTAAGTAGATTTTTAAAAGGGAATTTGCAATAGTGTCAACACAGTTCTCCTTTAAGTGATCCACACTTAAATTTGTTTTCTTGACTTTCTGAAACAGCGGCCACATTAGGGTGGCTTCTTAGACAAATTAGGTCAATGAAGTTTTCACAGTAGAATCCCAGCTCTTATCAAAATGGATTCTTTTGCAGAACTCACAGTCTGGGGGAGAGATTTCCCTCCCTGCCAAGGACTGTCTTTGAGATCATAGTGCAAGTTAAATGCTTGATTCATTAGGAACATTTAATTTTATTTATAAACCTATGGAAAAGAAACTAAGGATTATCATTTTAAGTTATTTGATTACAAGTTTATAAAACTATGTCACTGAAAGTCAGATGATACCAGACATTTTATTCTTAACCGAATGCTCTCTGGAATATTAAATTTTTTGTGTGTGAAATACTTAAGATTTTATTTTAAATTCATTTTAAAATTTACATTTAATCACTGTATATCTTTACTGTGTACAACCCGGTTTTAACCAGCGTGAATGTGGTGCATATTAGTCAAGTCAAAGAATTACGGCTGGTGTCTTATCTCCTCTTGGTGTTCACTCACAGCTGTGAAATACTACCAATGAGTCCTGCAGATCAGAGACTCAGGGGTCATGGATGGATTCGGGGTGTCCATAAATCTCCTGAAGATAAATGCTAAATGTTGAATGTATGTGCTACCTTTTGGAAGAAAGTTTACAGTTTTCATCAGATTCCCAAAATTGTCTATAGTTTCAAAATGTTAAGAATTATCAACTTGGAGATAACTACATTAACCACCTCATTGAACAGATTGGGAAACTGTCCACCCCGCCCAACCACGAATGGTTGAGAAACATGCCCAAGGATCACCAGGAGGGTGGGAAGGAATCTACAGACTTCTAGGAATATAAGAATTAGAGCTGGGACCAGTAGATGACATAATGGTTATGTCGCTGGACTCCCACTTCGTCAACCATGGTTCGCATCCCATACAAGGAGGCTTAAAACTCACGCTAGGCATGTGTGCGTGCATGCCCAAGATCCTGAGAGAAGGGATTGCGATGTGGCCATCCCCCTTGGGGGGGGGGTGATTTATTTCTCTTTTTCTGTCTCTCTGTCTCTCTAGTGAGGACATGTGCCCTACAGCAAAAAAATCTCTCCTCCCACCCCCCTCCCCCCCAAAAAAAAGAATTAGAATCTTTCCCACCAACACCAGCATCCCCTGGGCCTTTCAGGCAAACAATAGCTACTAAATAAGTTTTAAAAAAATATTGTTTTCACCATAACCTGTAAGTGGCTCTTACATTGCGGAGGAGCTGGGAGTGCACCAGGTAATGCTGCATGTCTTGCATTTGCTGCACAGATTCAGGTCTGCCTTGGGATGGGGGCTGTACAGGTGCTTACGGAAACACTCCCTCCTTCCCTGCCTGTCGCAGGCTTCATTTTGCTCCAAGGCTTGGTGCCCATGACAAGGATTCAGTGTCCTTTGATGCGTCCCTGCAGTTGGAAAGGTGCTACTTGCTTTCTTTTCGTGGAAAAGTACTCCAGGTACCTAGTCCTGACACCTGAAACCTCCCTCCACCGCTCCCGTCCAACTTCAGTGTTCTGCACAGTGACGGAGAAGATAAGATTTCCCAGATGAGAGGATGTGGTGGGAGTGGGAATGCACAGGGGGTGATTTCCGCCCTCTCTCCCCTGGCTCCCCTCTCCCCGTCTTCAGGAGGTGCTTGTCTGCACCTGTGACCACAAACGGTAGGGTCTGCGAGGACGGCGGAGTGGCCTCCGGCCAATGTTTACACACGACGTGGACAATGCTTTGTCTTCAGCTGGGGAAGGTTGGAGCTGAAAGCTGTACTATTAGTTGCTGCTTACATGACCTTGATTCCCTTTTCTGGCAAACCTGGAAAAGTTTCCCTCGTCATCCATAGCAGTGCTCTCCGAACAACTGGTCTACCGTTACCAGCTGTGAGAATTCGGTCCTTCCTTTCTAAGGCACAGGTCTTTCTCTCAATCATTTCTTCTGCAAATGGAATTTTTGTTTGCATGATTAAATCTTCTCTTCACACTCTCAGCCAATTTCCTGACCATCTGGTTTGCTTCTTGCTGTTTGGTTATTTGTTTAGGGGACATAGCACCCCTCTTCCTAGCTGTCACATTTAGCAGGAGGAATTTTCTGTTTTAATCCATCATTCGTTCCGCTTAGCTTTGGTTTGGAGCCTTCACCTATAAGCCCTACTGATGGGGAGTCTCACACAGCCTCACACAGCTTGGCCCTTGGCGACGTGAGGATTCCCATCGGACAGGGATGCTCTGCCGGGACAAGGTCGTGGCAGCCTGGAGCGCGACGTCTGGTGCTCAGGGAGGTCTTCAGGGAGGGGGAAGCATCAGGCTGAGGGCTTCCTGCT